TTTAAAGAATTGAATAATTTCAGAATAACTTTGATAAGTTTACTACTTAAGCACCGTCTGTAGTGTGATGTTAATTATGACCTTCTTTTTCATTTGTGCTGGAGTAAGACTGGGTTTTCCTAAGTTTTATATAAGTCATAAAGCATATCTGAGCCCTTGCCTGGGTCCTCAGAGGGAAGCTGTTTCCTGCGCTTGCTAAGTCTTACTGTATTGCTCTCAGGCAATAGGGTACAACTACTCTTCAAATGTTGTATTAATCATCTGGCACCAATAATATGCCTCCTTGCATTGCTCATATCAGCTACATATTGACATTCAAAAGAGGAGGAGATTGAAAGCAAATATCTGATAGTGATTTTTGTTTGTCTATGGGAAAAACCCTTTGCATATTATAAAACTGACTCAGAATATTTTGAACAACTGTCTTGGTCTAGCTTGACTGGTCTATAACACAGTGTTTAATAATATATTAGGAATTAGTATTATATTTAAAATTAGAAATGAGAAAAGACAACATAGAATAATTTGTGCCACACAGAATGCCATATGCCAGAAAGCACACAGGAGAAAACTCCATAAGCCCTGAAAATCTAGTTCTTTTATAGAATGTTGGTTAAAATACAACCCTGGGACAAGAAACTTATGGTATTAGTAATTATATGAGGCCAGGCACAGTGGCTCACATCTGTAATCCTAGCATTTTGGGATGCTGAGGCAAGTGGATCACCTGAGGTCAGGAGTTCGAGACCCGCCTGACCAACATGGTGAAACTCCATCTCCACTAAAAATACAAAAATTATCCGGGCATGGTGACACATGCCCGAAGTGCCTGAAGTCCCAGCTACTCGGGAGGCTGAAGCAGGAGAATCACTCGAACCCAGGAGGCGGAGGTTGCAGTGATATGAGATTGCGCCGCTGCACTCCAGCCTGGGCAACAGAGCGAGACTACATCTCAAAAAAAAAACAAAAAACAAAAAAAAAACACAGCAATAGACAGATTTGACCCATACGTGTATTGGTGCTTTTATGAATAATGTTTTCTCATTTATTTGAGTATTTTTATGTTAATGATTCGAATTGTCATACTATAAAGGAGCTTACTAGAGTGCTGTAGGGCCTACCATCCCATGTTGGTATTGCTCCAAAGATAAACTTTTTTGACTAAATTGGAGATTGCCCTCATTTGGGGTAGGGAATGGGGATGCTTAGTCCAGTGATTTAACAAGCATTTTGGTCTCAGGACCCTTTTTTCACTCTTAAAATTTGAGAACAGCATGTAACTTGTTTTTCTTAGAAGCTTGGAGAAATTTTAAAAAATACTTAATAAGTAATTCAGGCTGGGCATGGCGGCTCATGCCTATAATCCCAGGAGTTTGGGAGGCTGAAGCTGGGAGTTTGATACCAGCCTGGGCAACAGATGAGACTCCATCTCTACAAAAATTCAAAACATTAGCTGGGCATGGTGGCAAGCACCTATAGTCCCAGCTACTGGGAGGCTGAAGCAGGAGGATCACTTGAGCCCAGGAGGTTGAGGTTTCAGTGAGTCATGATTGTGCCCCTGCACTCTAGTCTGGGTGACAGGGCTAGACCCTGTTTGAAAATAACAGCAACAAATGATCTGTCTTGCACTTAAACATTCACTGGACATTTTATTGTTCACTGGGTTATGCAGATCTTCCAAATGTTACACATTACATTATGTGGAATCAAAAATTCACATTCATTAATATCGTCATAAGTCTGTCAAATCAGAAATGGCTTTTAAAATATTGGGAAAGTCCAAGTGCAGCAGCTCACACCCTTAATCCCAGCATGTTGGAAGGCCGAGGTGGGCGGATCACGAGGTCAAGAGATTACGACCATCCTGGCCAAAATGGTGAAACCCCGTCTCTGCTGAAAATACAAAAAATAGCCGGGCGTGGTGGCGCACACCTGTAGTCCCAGCTACTCGGGAGGCTGAGGCAGGAGAATCACTTGAACCCAGGAGGCAGAGGTTGCAGTGAGCTGAGATCGCACCACTGCACTCCAGCGTGGCGGCAGAGCGAGACACCGTCACACACACATACACCCCAAATAAAATCTTGGGAAAATGTTCATGATTGTTGATACAGTTTTCAAAAACACTAATCTTTGCTTTAAAAAATCAGATTTTATTATTGGCAGCAAATATATCATCATTGGTTTTCCTTGAAGTGACAAGTTCACTTTGTTCATTTGCAAGAAAATGTCTGCTAGTGAAGCAGGTTTCACATAATCAGTTTGTCAGTAGTTCTGCCAAGTAAAAATAGTGTTCCATGAGCAAAGCTCTAGTTCATTTTGCAACTCAGTTGTACTGTACTTTTTCCTGAGAATTCATAAAGCAGCAGAGTGCTTTATGCATACTTTCCCTTTCATCACAAAAAATACTTTTTAAAAATGCACTAAAGGCTCAAGGTAATTAATAATTTTTGCTGCTTCATCAAGGACATCTTAAGTGGAACTCCCTTAAAAAAAAAAAAACTGAGTGGAGAGTGTAATGACTATTGGTATAGTTTGGTGCCTCTGCCTTGATTTGTGCTAATAATGTGCCAGCAGTTTTGTTCACCTTTGTTTTTGTATTCTGATTGCAAATATCAACAGAGTGAAAAAGGCAGATAATATTCTAGTATTGCTATGAAAATACCTTTGATTTCACGAACCTCCAAAATAGTCTGTGAGATCCCCAGAAGTCCAGAGACTACACTTTAAAGAAAACTGGCTTAGTTCTTTACGTATGTTTCCTTTGACTCCCAGACCACATAGATCAAGGGGGGGGGGGGGATCAAACAGAGGCATATGACTGGGGTTTTTAGCTTGGTTACTAAATAAAAGCAGTTCCATTACCTAAGATAATGAAACAGGATGCGGAATAGTGTGCTGGAAGGAGGAAGTGAATTCTGAGCTTCAGGTGGCTTGAGGAACGTAGAGGTATGGGAATCTTAATATTAGTGCAGCTCAGAAGTTTTTCTTAGGGTTAGGTAACCTCACCATACTAGTGGTTTTTGAGAGAGAAGAGGGCAGAAGAGACCTTGTGCAGCACCAACATTTACGGGTCCAGGAGGAAGAGAAGAGGATGATAGTACAAGGACATCAGGAAAGAATTAGAAGGATATCGGTATTGTCCAGTGCTGAAGAGAAGTCAGATAGAATGGGGACTGAGCCTTGACCATTGGATTTGGTAATAAGATTACTGGTAACCTTTGCCAGAGCAGTAGGGGATGAAATCCAGATTATGGAAGAGTGATGAGTGCAGAGACAGTTATTTATACTATTCTTTAAAAGTTTTGGGGTAAAGGGAAAGAGAGATGTTGGGCAATTAAATATGAGAGAGAGGCTGTACTGAGGACAGAAGATACTTAAGTAAATTCTTAGGCTGAAAGGAAGAAGCCAGTAGAGAAGATACTGATGAGCACTTTGATCTGAAAGAAAAGAAAACTGATGAAACAAGTTGGTATTACAGATGAGGTACAGTTGGCTCTGTAGTATAATCTGTACTTCTAGTGAAGTGAGAAGCTGATGAAAACTGGATTCCCTGGCCAGAGAAATGCACAGACCTGTGATATTTGGCATACTTTTTTTTGTGAACACGGGAATTCCATACTAATTTTTTCTGTTTAATTATTGTTTAGTTTGATGTGTCTTGCTTTAAATCCATTTATTTCAACAAAAAGATTTTTTTTTAATGCAGATGATTTAATTTTAACAATCTGTGATTTTCTCTGAATCGAACTTGTGTACAACTTTCAGTCTGTAGTAACAAATGACAAGAAGAAGGGTGCAATTCTTTCTCTTGTGCAGGGATTTTGCTTCCCCCTTTCTTTCAGTTGAAAGATACTTGGGTCTCTCGAATAACTGGTACAATTAGCTCCAGAGTGCTTTCTTTCTGGAGGCAGTTTAGACAACAGCACTCAAGTAGTGCTTTTGTTAAAAATATATGTGTTTTTAAATGTGCTTGTATTTCTAACATTCTTTTCTCCTTTCTCTTCTAGTCTGTTCTCTGGGGAGGCAGTAAGGGGCCGTGGAGCTGGCCTC